CGTATAAAATTAGTGTCTTATAGTTTCGATAATTTTCTTTTCTTTTTATCGTTCTTTCATCATTTTACTCGTGGTACAGTTTCAGTGTGTACAGTTTTGACGTAGAAAATATTGGGCCAACCCGATATATTAAAATGAAAGAAATTAAAGCAAATACACAGTTAGTGGAAAAAGTATTTTTGATGTTCGACAAATTGTCGATATTAGACCGTTACAATTTCGTAAACGCGTGTCGTTTACGAAACTACTATGTACGCTACGCATCGTTCGTGTTCCTGTAACATGCTTTCGCATAATACAACAGGTGGGAAACTGGAGACGTGCACTTCTTAAAAAATGTTACGGATCGAAACGTATATAAATACAGTAAATTCTCTCTAATTGACAAACCCAACTTGTACAAAAAAATGGGCAATTTGGAAAGAGGAGATACGACTATTCAAGCCTCGCGGTCCGCTTTTATAGTTACTAATTATCAACAACAATAAAAACGAGCCGCAAGGCTGGAATAATCGTACCTCCTCTTCCCAAAAAATCCATTTTTGTTTCCAAGCTGACAGTCGATTAGGGAGAATTTATTGTGCACCGGAATATTTTGTGCGCAATTGAGCCTAATACTCTTTACGTAAAAGAAAAATCGTAATTACCAACTACGGTATATTTACTTGAAATCAGCGAGTGGAATTTTTGCGTCGATTTCTTGGATTGCCTGACCTAGGTGTGTAGGGGGAGGGTCATACACGGCTATTGGATGAAACGACTCGAACGGAGGGGCGACTCGCTCGATGCATATCTGCATTACTGCCGGAAGTGCTCGAGTCGCCGGTGTCGGGCGAGGGAACACGGCGGGTGTCGTGAACCGTGCTGAAGCGTCCACTAAGCGTCGAACGACCGACAACCGATTTGTTTTACGCGCGGTTACGGTTTGTCGTTCGAGCGTCGTCCGTCCGACGAAATTAATGCTCGCCGTGTACTCGCGTCGAACGCGTAATCCCCAGCTGGGCGCGTCGTTTATTTTCACACGCGCCCCGAACGCGCGGAACTTCCGAAAACCTCGAAGCCTCTGAAAAGAGAGAGCTACGTGCTCGTACTTTTGTTATTTCGCTGGTATTATTTCTTCGTTTCAATAAATATTCTCAAGTTCGTTACGTCATCTAGAAACGTCGATCTATCGAGAAATCGCACAGACATTCGATGATAACACTTTTAATTGTACCTCCCACGTTTAACACGTTCCGTGCCGAGCTTTTTTTACTCGAATCTTCACACTTTGATATTTTACTAAAACTTGATGTATTACGTGCAATTATTAATTCTCGTACACATAACAACGTAACAAAAACTTATCAACGCCCATTCTTGCGGTGGAAATTGATTCTTCGGTTCTAAATTTCTTGTAAACAATTTGTTCAGTTCACTAAGTAAACATGCAAGCGTGTACCATCGATGGTACATGTGGCACGGAACGTGTTAATTATACCCCCCCGTAAAGCGTTCCATAATAGGTACTTTTACTTTACAAGGATCACTGTTCAAACTCTTGTCGTACTATATTCGTTATAATTAAAACACACATTTTTCGATTGTTATAATTTATTAGAAGAAAGGGGAATATGTATTTATTGTGTGCCTACATTGATTTGAATACTTAAACATTGACGTCAAGAGAACAGAATTGTATTCCGACTTCAAAGAATGCAATAACATCCATAACCAACAGGTTATAACAAGAAATCTTGATCACTGATGGCAAAAACGTAGCAATTTTTTATACGGATCGAAAGTATATGCGATCATAAAAATGTCAATTTAAGGTGCTACCAAGGCCTGGCCTGACCTAGAGAGATCAATAAAGGAGCAATAAGGGTGCTTCGTTTGGAGTACAGCTTATTTTTTGCTGATTCTGATCTAATTATTATCTATTCATTATTGTTGTTAATCTCTGCTAAATACTATTTAATGTCATCCATTAATATATTATCACTCACGTTCTATAATTTAATTTCATGTAACGAGATAATTATTTTCGGATAGACGGTTTCTCATTCTCTCCCCCCCCCTTTTCTTGTTCCTCCTTTGCTGATCGATCGAACGAAATAATTGTCAAACTATTTCAAAGAGAAAAATCAATGGAATAGTTTCTTTCTTCTCCGATGGATATCCATAATGGACAAACCAAAATTAAATCTATGCGACTTCGTCATCGGTAGACCGCGGATTTTATGCATCTATGGGAAAGATGCATAGGTGAAGCATAGAACAGTGAAACAGTGAAAAGAAACTAAGAACGACGACATGTTAATTGCAACTTATTAAAATTATTTAACGAAAAACTCGCGATTGATGCAGGCAATTTTTATTTCGCGTCAAGACCCGTCGTCTAGTCATCAGATAAATATCGTATCCTGTTAGTGTCAAATAGAAAGAGAGTCAAGGAAATCGGAGGGTGGCGTCGCGTCGTCGCCGCGGCCCTGGGTTCTCCTTCGCCCGCCGACAGGTGATTCATTTCGCGCACGATTTTCCCGTCGATTCGCCGCCATGAAAGATTAAACGAGCCGCATGCGTGCGCGCGATTCCTAGCGAACCGTTAAAGTGTATTTTATTACGCGGCCGGTCGCGCCGTGTGCGAATACGCCGAAGGGTGAATACGAAAAACCAATAAATTATTTCCGCCCTATTAACGTAACCGTCGATACTCTCCGCCCCCGTGGTAATGGATCACTGGCAGTGATTCTTCCTTTTTTGAGAAGAAGGTAACTCGCCGCGCCACGCTGCCACGTCATAATTCTTAATTCCAAAGGTGCTCGAAGCTCGCCGCGGCGACCTCGATAAAAGCCTTTTAAACGGGACGTCGATACATTCTTCGTATCCCGGGGTCGCCGCCGCCGCCGCCGACACTACCGGGAATTAATTACGAGCATTGTTCCGTTGTATGACGGAACCCTTATAAATCAAGCAAGGAAAAATGTTGTCCTCGAGTCAAACATTATTGACCATCTACGTCCATCCCTGGGTAGAGGAAAATCGCCAGATGTGGATAACCCAGGGACCGAAGGCCCTAGGAAATAACGTATTTTGGACGAAGCAATCGAAATGCCAGAACACCCGTAGTAAACAATTTCGTTGAAAGCCATTTCCGTCTTCTATTCAAGTATTTCTTTTATGATCCACAGTTGGTCACCAAATGCCATTTCTAGCCGTTTTTTACGATATGCATGTTCCACCGAGAAGAGGCATTTTCCGGATCATTGTTTGCTACGGCTTATCCTTGGGACACTCGGATTAATTCGCGGGCGTCACCCCAGGGCACGAACACTACCTGCGGGTGACCCTTAGTTTGGGGCGGTCACCTTTCTAAT